GGCCGGATCTCAGCTCACTGCAAGTTCCGCCTCCCGAGTTCACGCCATTTTCCTGCCTCAGCCTCCCCAGTAGCTGGGACTACAGGCGCCCGCCACCTTGCCCAGCTAGTTTTTTGTATTTTTTAGTAGAGATGGGGTTTCACGGTGTTAGCCAGGATGGTCTCGATCTCCTGACCTCGTGATCTGCCCACCTCGGCCTCCCAAAGTGCTGGGAAGGATTTTTAAAAGTTCTCTTCTGTTCCCTATAGTATCTGGTTTTTGTGGTCATTTATTCTGTATATTCATGTTATGTTTCTTTTATGTTATTAGTTTTCTTCAAGTATTTGGTAATCTTTTCTGCATATTGAGATTTATAAATAAAGAGGAAGTTGATTAGTATAGGTAAACAATAGATTTTTTTTCTTCCCTTTGGATAGGAAAGCTGACTAGCTGACTATAGACTTCTGTATATATGAACATAATTGAAATCACGCTTTTTTTTTTTTAAGAGATGGGGTTTCACTCTGTTGCCCAGGCTGGAGTGCAGTGATGTAATCACAACTCACTACAGCCTCAACCTCCTTGGCTCAAGTGATCCCCCCACCCCAGCCTCCCAAGTAGCTGGGACTACAGGGGCACACCACCATGCCCAACCAATTTTTTTGTTTTGTTTTGGTTTTGGTAGAAACTGCATCTCACTGTATTGCCCAAGCTGGTCTCAAACTCCTGGACTCAAGCGAACCTCCCACCTCAGCCCTCCAAAGTGCTGGGATTACAGGCATAAGTCACTGAGCCTGGCTGAAATCACCATTTTTGTAGGTCAAAACCAGCTGAAATCTGCAATTTTATATGGTTCAAAATAACAAGAATTCATAAATAGTTATGTATAGGTTAATGGTGTATGGTCACTTTTTTTATTTATGAAGTATAAAGTCAAAACACTTTGAAGACTACTGCTACAGATTGATCATAGGCATTGCAACTAGGCAGACTTGAGGTCAAATGATAGCTCTGGTAATTACTGATTTTTTAGTTTAGGTTAAGTCACTTAACTGAGTTTCATTTTATGTAATTAAAAAGTATATTATTACTATGAGTTTTGTAAGAATTATAGATAATATATGTAAAAACCTAAGAAATCATAGATTCTTCATAAACACTAATTATCTATTATTTTGTGTTAGTATGTCATTAAATTTAATATCACAAATATATAATGAAATTAAGAATTTTTTAAATTGGTGCTGTTTATTGTAGAGTGTTACTTTTAATTAATTTTATTAATTCCACAGAGTTATTTTAAGAGCTCCCTATGTTGCTAAGGAATTTTTAAAGAGGAATCAATATAAACAGATGATTGGCAGAGCTGGTCGTGCTGGAATAGATACTATTGGGGAGAGTATCCTCATACTGCAAGAAAAAGACAAACAACAGGTAATACTCAGTTTGGTTGGTTGGTTGTTTTTGTCTTTTTCTTGGTCTTTGGTCTAGCCCTTTTATGAAATAATCTTTTAAAAATTAATTATTAATTTTCTTTAAATGATGCTTTCTTTCCTATATGGTTAAGAATTAGAAAGAGTGGTTTGAAAATGTATATATTTTAGACAATGAAAAAATATTTTTCCTATTTGTTTTTCATCCTTTTTTATGAGGACAAATGTTAAATTCTTTTGTCTTTATTTTTTTGGTCGTCTTCTGGCTCCACAAGATTTATGTAAAGTATAAAATATTTATATTAAATGCCATTTATTTTTAATAATAACACAAAGCATGGTGTTGCTTTGACCTTTATAGGTATTGGAGTTAATAACTAGACCATTGGAAAACTGTTACAGCCATCTTGTTCAGGAATTCACCAAGGGAATCCAAACATTATTTCTCTCTTTGATTGGTTTGAAGGTATTTTTTTAAATTTTTTTGTCTTATTACTGTTATCTGAGATAATCGAAGTGAAAAAGTTATGCAGTAACTTTATATGTGCAGCTGCGTAGATTTTACACTAATTTTTTATTTAATCTTTTTCTTTTAATTTTGTTTGTTTTCTCATCCACTTCAGTGATTAAGGTAAATAATTTTGAAAAGATCATGGAATGGTCAGGTGTGGTGACTCACACCTGTAATCCCACCACTTTGGGAGGCTGAAACAGGAGGATTCTTTGCGCCCAGGAGTTTGAGACCAACCTGGGCAACACAGCAAGACCCCATCTCAAAAAAAAAAATCACTGAATCCTAGTGCTTGGCATGTGGTTGGCACTTAATAAATACTTGAATTAATGAAATTGGCTTTTTTTTCTTAGCAATGGGGTCTTGCCATGTTTGTTAGATTGGTCTTGAACTCTTGGCCTCAAGCAGTCCTCCCACCTTAGCTTCCCAAAGTGCTAGGATTATAGGCATGAGCCACTGCGCCTGGCCTGTTTTTGTTTGTTTGTTCTTTAACCTGGGATATGGTGATGAAATTAACTTTGGACTGAGCGTGGGTGAACTTACAAGTTGGGGCATCAGTGGAGATCTGGCTTTGAGAAGCCAAAAGCAGAGGCTGGCCCAGTGGGTTTCAATTACTATGTCAAAAACTTTATCAGGGAGGGATAGAAAGATGACATAATGGTAGACAGAGGGATCAAGTAAAGGTTCCTCTGCCCTCCTGCACTCTTCCAGTGTTAAATCTAATCATTTAGGTAGGAAATAGTACAAAAACTAAGTACATTAATAATCCAAAAACCAAGTATCACTTCTTAAATATCTTAAAAGTATGATTTTAGCTTAATTGAATACTATATTAAGAATGATTTTTTATTAAAGTGAGAAGAAATAGAAAATGTCTGTGCCCCATAATATTTTTCTTACCCCTTATATTGGTTTAACATGAAATTATGACTTAAATTTTCCAGCTGAAATAGCATCAGAATTGTAAGAGAGAGAAATATACTTATTGATTGACTATATTTTAGTATAACATGCTGATTTCATTGAAATTGGCTAATAAAAATTATTCTAATTCAGAGCCAACTCTACATCTGAATACTAAATGGCGGGTTAAGTATTCCTTATGATTGCCATTGTAAGTTGTAAATAGCGAATAACAGTGGGAGAGAAAAAGGCAGTGAAAGAACAAGAAATGGAGATAGGAATATGAGAGACAAAATTAGGTAGAGATCAACTATTTTTAGGTAACATTTTAGGCAAAGTATTGTCTGACCCTGTTTTAGTGGAAATTGTTGTATTTTCCATGCTTTTTTTTTTTTAATGCAACTTTTAGAGCTAAAGGATGTTTTCACAGGTAGGTGGAAAGCAGTGCAGGGAAGAGGCTGAGTGAGAATTAGTGAAAATTGGTTGGGGAGTAAATAGCACAGTTTTGGAGATATTGTGAAAAATTATTTAAAGACTTATTCAAAGGAGTTTTGGAAAGAAAAATGTGTACATATTTTCATAAAAAGCATGAATATAATAACTATCATCCCCCTATATTTTTTGTTAATTTTAAATTGCTATTATCAATTTATATATGCAACTGTGTAGATTTCATACTAATTTTTTATTTAAATAGCTTTGAGGTATGGAAATGAGTTATCATCTTGATTAATATGCATTCAAGGTGATGCCTTGAGTTAAGGAAAATGCTCCAGTGACGTCCTGAATTGTTTCAGATTGCAACGAATCTTGATGACATCTATCACTTCATGAATGGTACATTTTTTGGTGTTCAGCAAAAGATTTTATTGAAAGAAAAAAGTCTTTGGGAAATAACTGTTGAATCACTTAGATACCTGACAGAAAAAGGACTCCTACAAAAAGACACTATTTGTAAGTCTGAAGAGGAGGTCCAATATAATTTTCATATTACAAAGTTGGGACGAGCTTCATTTAAGGGTAAGAGTTTACCTAAATCTTATTGATCACAGGAAACACATTGGAAAAAATGAAAATTAAATTATACTTTCTTTAGGCTGGGCAGAGTGGCTCACGCCTGTAATCTCAGCACTCTGGGAGGCCAAGGCAGGCAGATCACCTGAGGTCAGGAGTTTGAGACCAGCCTGGCCAATATAGTGAAACCCTGTCTCTACTAAAATACAAAAATAAAATTAGCCAGACATAGTGGTACATGCCTGTAGTCCCAGCTGCTCGGGAGGCTGAGGCATGGGAATCGTTTGAACCTGGGAGGCAGAGGTTGCATTAAGCTGAGATCATGCCAGTACACTCCAGCCTGAGCAACAGAGTGAGACTCCGTCTCAAAAATAAAAAAATAAAAAATTATACTTTCTTTAAGTTGCGTTTATAATTTTATATTAATTGCAGTAATCTTATTTTGTAAGCTGATAAACTCCTTCAACTTTCAAAAGTTGAAAAATGTTTTGAATTATAAGTAATTAAAGTACTGCAGAAGTATATAGAGAATAAGGTGGGCATCCCTCCTTCATGCTCCCCTCCCCAGCAACCATACAACATGCTCTGTTGCCAAGGCTGAAGTGCAGTGGTGCACTCTCAGCTCACTGCAACCTCTGTCTCCTGGGCTCAAATGATTCTCTCACCTCAGCCCCCCGAGTAGCTGGGACTACAGGCGCATGCCACCATGCCTGGCTAATTTTTGTCTTTTTAGTAGAGGTGGGGTTTCACTATGTTGTCTAGGCTGAGGCTCTTTTTTAATGAAAAATAATACATGTCTGCTGGTAAAAAAAAAAAAAAAAACCTAAGAACTCAGAATTATGCTAAGGAAAATGCCATACTCCTCTCCCATTTCTACTCTCTCAGAAGCTACTACTACCAGTTTGATATGTATTCTTCCAAATATTTTTATGCATGTATTTTTCAAATGGAATCATCATTTAAATATTTTTTTCCAAATTGCTTTTCTCATGTATAAAATATCATGAACATCTTATCAGATGAATCTCTTTAAATCTGTCTCATTTTTCTTTTAATACTGTAGTTATCTGTAGTGTGGATGTACCATAATTTATTTAACCATTCAATGTTGATGGACATTTGCATTCTTTCTGATTTTTGTTTGTTATAAACAAGGCTGCATGGACATCTCTATGTATTTTGGGGTACATATGGAAATGTTTCTCTGGGTTAGAGTCCCCAAAATAGTTGGATCAGAAGGTATGTACATATTAAATGTTGATGAGTGCTATCAAAATGACCTCCAAAATAGTTATATAATAAGATGTTATAAGAGATTTTAAAGACTTTTTGCTATATTTAAGCAATTTCTACACAATACTTTATTTAAAACCATGTCTTTGCCCCTCTGGTAATTGTGAAAGATTGAGTATTTGTATCTTTCTTTTAGGAACTATAGATTTAGCTTATTGTGACATTCTCTACAAAGACTTGAAGAAAGGTCTTGAAGGACTTGTGCTTGAAAGCCTTCTTCATCTAATCTACCTAACAACCCCCTATGATCTGGTTTCACAGAGTAACCCTGATTGGATGATATACTTCAGGCAGGTGAGAATATAACGTTTTTCAACTTAGGCTACTTCGTTTGTTAGTTATTACATGCTGTTTTGTTTTGTTTTGTAGAGATGAGGCTTTGCCATGTTGCCCAGGCTGGTCTCAAACTCCTAGGCTCAAGCGATCCTCCCACGTTGGCCTCCCAAAGTGCTAGGATTACAAGTGTAAGCCATTGTGCCCGGCCTATTATATGCTTTTTATCAAGTGATTATTCACTTTTTTTCTCTCTTAAAATATATTTGGAATTGGATATTTTTTGTTTCCGTTTTTAAAAATTGTAATCTGGCAACAGCATTTATGGTTTGTTTAACTGAAATGTTACTTTTCTCAAATATAAACATATTTGTTATTGAAAAAATAAAGGTTAAGAAAAAAGGATTATCGATGGTCCTGTTTCCCCACAGAAAGTTAACGTTATGATCACTGCATTTTATAATGCCTAGAATGCAAAGAAAACAGTGAAAACCATCTCTGATGATTGAGAGTTTAATTATATGAGAGCTTAGTCAGAGCCAGGTATGATAATACATTAAACCCAATGATATTAATAACTGAAAAGGAATATTTATTTTACAACCCATCACAAAGTAGAACTGTCCATACTTATTATAAAGCCAAGTGGTAACATACAGTATATTATGATTTTACTGTGAACAGGCTAGCTGTATAAATGTACATTAGGGCTGGGTGTGGTGGCTTATGCCTGTAATCCCAGTACTTTGGAAGGCCAAGGTGGGAGGATCACTTGAGGTCTGGAGTTCGAGACCAGCCTGGCCAACACGGTGAAACCCCGTCTCTACTAAAAGAATACAGAAATTAGCTGGCCATGGTGTTGTACACCAGTAGTCCCAGCTACTCAGGAGGCTGAGGCAGGAGAATTGGCTTGAACCCATGAGGTGGAGGTTGCAGTAAGCTGAGATCACGCCATTGCACTCCAGCCTGGGTGACAGAATGAGACTGTCTCAAAAAAAAAGCAAAAACAGAAACAAAAACATTTATTAGGCAGAGGTAATGTACATCTTTTAATTGCAGGAAATTAACTTTATTTTTAATGTCATATTTTTAAATCATTACTGTTTGTTTTTTTTTCCTTCATCTCTTCTCAACTTGCTGAGTTTACATTATTCAGGAAGTAAGTTGTTTTTAAGTGGTACTATATAATGCAATTACTCTCAAAACCTTTCCTTCTCCTTCCCCTCAGCCATCCGTTATTAAACATAATCACATAGTCCATGGAAACCAGTAGTTGTGGCCATGCCTTTAAGTAATTCTAGAGTATGTTATATTCTAATGATACAACTTTAAAACCTGCAATATTTACAAATATATTTATCTTGTTTTTTTGTGTCCTGAATCATGAGAATGTGATATCAAAAGAAATACTGGATTTGGTTCACATGATGGATTTTTTTATGTTTCCATCTATTTGCTCTTTTTCCATGTAGTTTAGCCAACTCAGTCCAGCAGAACAAAATGTAGCTGCCATTCTTGGAGTCTCTGAAAGCTTTCTTGGGAAGAAAGCATCAGGTCAAGCCATCAGAAAGGTACCACATTCTTTTTTTCTTTCTACGTAATAAGTTCAATCAACACTTAGTTCACTCACTAAGTTCACTTCAACAAAATTAATACCATGATATTGATCTTTTTTGGTTTACATTTTTTCCTTTAAATTAGTATAATTCTCATTTTACTACTTAAAACATACCTGAGCACCCAAAATGTATGAATATTTTTAAACAACATTTATTTCTGGGTGGTGTGATGGCCTTTTTTTGGGTAGCATGAAATGTTTTCATAATATTACACAATCCTGATATAAGTTCATTTCAAAGGAGGAAATACATTTTCTAGAAACTTCATGTTAGGCTTTCTATTTGGTATCAAGGATTCTAAGATACGGCAGGTCTGGGTTTTTTGTTATTGCTTTTGTCATCCTCAAAGAACTCCTAGTCTAGTACTTATATTACATAAAGCATTTTAGAAGGTTAAAGGGGATAAGCTAATACTCATATATTTTGGTGTTTTGAAATTCAGCCAGCAGGCATGAAGCAAGTTATCAAATGCATACACTAACTTTAAGAGAAGTTGAAGTAATTCTTTGGTAACCATATCTTCAATTTCCTTAAGAGAATGTTTTTTTCTCCCTTGTAATACACTTTTTTTTTTTTCATTTAAAATTTTCTTTGGCAGTTCAACTTACATTGAAACCTAATTAGCTACCATTTTCCCCCACACCTGGTTTTTTTTTTTGAGATGCAGTCTCACTCTGTCGCCCAGGCTGCAGTGCAGCAGCGTGATCTTGGGTCACTGCAACCTCTGCCTTCCAGGTTCAAGCGATTCTCCTGCCTCTGCATGCTGAGTCACTGGGATTACAGGCGCCCACCACCACACCTGGCTAAGTTTTGTATTTTTAGTAGAGACAGGGTTTCACCATGTTGGCCAGGCTGGTCTCAAACTCCTGACCTCAGGTGATCCACCCACCTCGGCCTCCCAAAGTACTGGGATTACAGGTATGTGCCACTGCGCCCAGCCTCCCCTATACCTTTTAAATTTGCGTAGACAGTACAGATTTCATTTTGTAAAATGGGAAGATGACGTTTACTTACACTTAAATTGATGGTGCGGTGTCCCATGCATCACTGTGTCATAAAATCAACAATATCCTGCCGGGCGCAGTGGCTCATGCCTGTAATCCCAGCACTTCGGGAGGCTGAGGCGGGTGATCACGAGGTCAGGAGTTTGAGACCAGCCTGACCAACATGGTAAACCCCGTCTGTACCAAAAATATAAAAAATAGCTGTGTGTGGTGTTGGGTGCCTGTAATTCCAGCTACTCGGGAGGCTGAGGCAGGAGAATCACTTGCACCTGGGAGGCAGAGGTTGTAGTGAGCCGAGATTGTGCCATTGCACTCCAGCTTGGGCAACAGAGAGAGACTCTGTCTAAAAAAAAAAAAGGAAAAAAACCCCACAAGCCCAACACAGTGGCACACACCTATACTCCTAGCTTCTCAGGAAGCTGAGGCAAAAGATTTACTTGTACTCAGGAGTTTGAGGCTAACCTGGGCAACATAGTGAGACCCTGTCTCAAAAATAAAAATAAAAGTATCTGTAGTACTTAAGCATTCACATTATCACAATTTTTAGATTGAGTCTTTTACTTTGGAAATGGCTGTGTTGTTTAGACCTTCAAAATACTGAATAAAAATATTTCTTAAAACAAACCTTTTATATCAAACTCTAAAATGTAAAATAAAAACAATATTATTAATTTGGAACTCATTATCAAATAATAAACATGCAAAAATCTTATTAGAATAATGCATCTTTTTAAGCTTGAATCCAGAGTTTATGTTACATTTAATGTAATATAGTCAACAAATATTTGCCAAATTGATACATATTTAAAATAGTATGAACATGAATTATCTTCATTACAAATGGATTAATTACTAGTTTAATGTTTTGGAGGTATAATTTTTTAAAACTCTACAGAACATATTTAAACGCTTAAAATCTAATTGATTTCTCCACATTGAAAAAGAGCCCCCCCATCCACCTTTTTTGAACATTTCTTGATTTCTTGCAAAAGTTTTTTTTTTTTTTGAGATGAAGTCTTGCTCTTGTCGCCCAGGCCAGAGTACAATGGCACGATCTCAGCTCACTGCAACCTCCGCCTCCCAAGTTCAAGCAATTCTCCTGCCTCAGCTTCCCAAGTAGTTGGGAGTACAGGTGCCCACCACCACACACAGCTAATTTTTGTATTTTTAGTAGAGACGGGCTTTCACCATGTCGGTCAGGCTGATCTTAAACTCCTACCTCGGCCTCCTAAAGTGCTGGGATTATAGGCGTGAGCCACCTATAATGCTCTGCCACAAAAGATCTTGAAATTGGCATAAATCATTATGTTTTGCCATATAATATATCATTTTTCTTGGCTTAGGAAATACATTCTAAGTAAAAACCTACATTGACTCAATTTATAGTTAGTACTGAATATGCACTAAAATCGGGAAATTAAATAGCTTTCTTTTCCTACTTGATATTCAACTGTCATACTTTTTCAGCTTAATGCTTTTAAAAAAGTGATCCAGTATCAACCTGCAGAATCTGTAACTCATACATCCTTCAATTGTCACCGTAAGTTCTCATCTCATTCTTTTACTATGATGGAGGATATAATTTTATATTTTATTTTGTTTTTTATTATTTTACAATTTTTTAAAAAATATGGACAGGGTTTCACCATGTTGCCCAGGCTGGTCTTGAACTTCTGAACTCAAGACATCCTCCTGCCTTGGCCTTCCAAAGTGCTGGGATTACAGGTGTGAGCTACCACTCCCAGCCTCTAATTTTATTTTTTATATCTACTTTTTCTTTTTTAAGTTCATCGTTTTTTCCTCAGTTTTAAGAATTAATTAGTTTCTAAGCTTGATGCTAGCTATGAAATCCTTTATGCACAAATATGGTCATTAGGCACCACAGGCAAAAGCAGGTACACAGAATCAAAATCATCAACTACAGGAAGCATTTTTCTATCTCTTTCAGGTGTTTTAGCTTGGACCATGTGGAAATAATAGGATCTAATATTTACTCTTAGTTTATAATATAGACAAGCTTATTAACTTATTTATCTAAAGTGCATTTGTCTAGTTTATAATAATAATCACACACATATACAATTTACAAATACCAAATAACTGTAAAGGTCTCTGTCCCCAACTCCCTCCTTTCCTGTATTCATTTTCTACAACTGCCATAACAAATTACCACGAATGGTTGGCTTAAAACAACAGAAATTTATTCTCCCACACTTCAGGAGACGAGAAGTCCAAAATCAAGGTATTAGCAATGTTGATTCCTTCAGGAGCCTCTGAGAAAAAAGCCATCCGTGCCTCTCTCCTGGCTTCTGGTGGTTACTGGCAGTCCTTGGTGTTCCTTAGCTTATAGATGCGTCCCTCCAATCTCAGCCTCCATCTTCACATTGCTGCCTTCTCTGTGTCTCTCTGTGTCTTCTCCTCTTATAAGGACATTAATCATTGAATTTACAGCCCACTGTAAATCCAGGATGATTTCACCTAGAGATACTTAACTAATTGTATCTGCAAATATCTTGTTTCCAAGTAAGATCACATTCACAGGTACCAGGGGTTAGGATTTGTACATTTCTTTTTGTGGAGTGATGGAGAGGGGGTACAATTCCTTCCCTGTAGAAGGAAGTTTAATTTATATTGGAAATAATTTGGTTTATCTTTTAACTTTTATTTATTTTTATTTTTTTGAGACAAGGTCTCACTCTGTCGCCCAGGCTGGAGTGCAGTGGTGCTATCTCAGCTCCCTGCAACCTCTGTCTCCTGGGCTCAAGTGATCCCTTAGCCTCCCAAGTAGCCAGGACTACAGGTGCGCACCGCCACACCTGGCCACATTTTTTGTTAGTTTGTCTTTTTGTAGAGACGGATTTTTGCCATGTTGCCCAGGCTGATCTCAAACTCCTGGGCTCTTGCAATCCATCTGCCACAGCCTCCCAAAGTGCTGGAATTACAGGCATGAGCCACTCTGCCTGGCCCTATCTTTTTTTTATAGTTGGAAAAATGATAATAAATTTGAATTAATCTGAAGTACATCTGTTAGAAATTAGTTTTGTTTCTATGGAATTATTCTATCCTTGCTATTCTGTAATACAAGTTTTCCTTTTGTCCAATTTTAATAACATACATTTTTAGCAGGTCTAGTAAATGAATTTATTTGATTGTGTCTTTCTAGAAGGTGGACAAGGACGTTGTCAACAGGCTATATCTGTCTTTTGTTCTTTATACCTTGCTCAAAGAGACCAACATTTGGACTGTATCTGAAAAATTTAATATGCCTCGAGGATATATACAAAATCTTCTCACTGGAGCTGCCTCATTCTCATCTTGTGTGTTACATTTCTGTGAGGTAATTTCATTGAATATATGATATGTACTTTGTGCATCTTCTGGTTTTAACTGTTACTAAACTAATAAGCCAGTTAGTATGTCAGCATTTTCTCCTTGTTGACATATTCTGTTATTACGGAGCACTAAAAAACTATTTAAAATGTACCTTTGTCTTTATCTGTTTTTGAAAGTACTATTATGTACTTATGGTAACAATACAAAAATTACTGAGTCAACTAAAATACGTAATGAAAAGTGTATTTTTAACCCAGCTGTTAAAGCCACCATTAATAGTTTCAGGTATTCGGAATTAACTGTTAAAAACAACCTATTGATGTAGATTCCGTGTGAATGTCTTTCATCTGAGCAATAAAAATGTCAGGTGTTTGGTTACTAAGTTACCTATATCCAACAGCTACCTGCGACTATGTAGTACCATATTCTCTTTTTAAAAAAATTTAGGCTGGGCGCAGTGGCTCACGCCTGTAATCCCAGCACTTTGGGAGGCCGAGGCAAGCAGATCACAAGGTCAGGAGATGAAGACCATCCTGGCTAACACGGTGAAACCCCGTCTCTACTAAAAATACAAAAAATTAGCCAGGCGAGGTGATGGGTGCCTATAGTCTCAGCTACTTGGGAGGCTGAGGCAGGAGAATGGCGTGAACCTGGGAGGCGGAGCTTGCAGTGAGAGGAGATCGCGCCACTGCACTCCAGCCTGGGCGACAGAGCGAGACTCCGTCTCAAAAAAATAAAATAAAAATAAAAAAATTTAATTTTGACTGGATGCCATGGCTCCCACCTGTAGTGCTAGCACTTTGGGAGGCTGAAGCAGGTGGAGCAGGAATCACTTAAACCCGTGGTTCGAGACCAGCCGCTTGAGCAATGTGGCAAAGCCCTGTCTCTACAAAAAATAACAAAAATTAGCCAGGCATGGTAGCACACGCCTGTGGTCCCAGCTACTTGAGTCTCACTCTGTTGCCCAGGCTGGAGTGTAATGGAGCGATCCAGGCTCACTGCAGATTTGACCTCTGGGGCTCAGGCGATCCTTCTGCCTCAGCCTCCTGAGTAGCTGGGATTACAGACATGTGCCACCACACCTGGCTAATTTTTTTTTGTTTTTTTGAGATGGAGTCTCAGGCTGCAGTGCAGTCGTGCAATCTTGGCTCACTGCAACCCCCGCCTCCCGGATTCACGCAATTCTCCTGCCTCAGCCTCTAGAGTAGCTGGGATTACAGTCACACACCACCACTCCCCCTAACTTACGTATTTTTAGTAGAGATAGGGTTTCACCATATTGGCCAGACTAATCTGCTCAAGTGATCCGCCCACCTGGGCTTCCCAAAGTTTTGGGATTACAGACATGAGCCACAGCGCCCAGCCAGTTTTTAAAATTTTTTTGTACAAATGGGGAGTTCTCACTATGATGCCCAAACTGGTCATGAACTTCTAGGCTGACATGATCCTCCAGGTTGGCCTTCCAAAGTGCTAGGATTACAGGCATGAGCCACTACGCCTGGCCCCATATTCTCTTGATTGCCACTGTAATTTATTATATTTGCTTCCAGTGTCAGGCAACTATTTAAAGTTTTTACATCAAATGTGTATTTTATAGAACAGTTTAAGAAGAAAACCTTATTCTGGCCATATGCATTTGCGATGGATTTAAGACTTTATTAAAATAAGCTTTCAGAATTCCTTTAAATAGCACAATAAAGCTTACCAGACATTTACATCCAGATAATTTTTTGTGTGTTTATAATATAAGCCATTTTTGCTGCATTTAAATTTCTTCTTATTGGATGGCATAATAATCCTATCCATATTTGTTTCCAAGTCAATTTTTTAAAACTTTTTCCCATGAATTGTTTTCTAAACTTAAAATTTACTTCATTTTCCCTTTCTTAAACCTTCATATTCTGTATATGCATATGGCAATTAATTCTATCATATGTGTTAATGAAGGGAGTAAATAATTCAAAAATACTTGACTTTGGATTAAATGATAATTGTGCTAACAAATTTAGCTTTCTAAATGTCTTTTACTTGTGCTGATTTTTAAATGTTGGTTTATACCCCCTGAGCACATGATAGTTAAACAGAAGACAAAAATTATTGGTAATAAGAAGAAACTAGCCTTTAAAATGTATTTTCTTAGGTTTTCTATGTGTGTGGTTTTTTTATATTTAAAGATGCTCTCCCTAATATTTTTTCCCTTTGTTTTCATTGTGACTATGAGGACTTGAGCCTTATAGAATTGTTCAAGTAAAAAACTCTATAAAGCATCAAGAAACACAGCAATAATTTGATGGCTAATCCTAAGAAAAATCTAGCTGACAATTTGTGCTCTAATTAATTTACTTCATTTTTATTTATCATAATTATAGAATTATATATAACGTAAATATTATATAATTATATGATATATATTACATGTATATAATTTTTCAAATTATTATCAATAGAGACAGGGGTCTTGCTGTGTTGCCCAGGCTGGCCTCAAACTCCTGGACTCAAGCGGTCCTCCCACCTTGGCCTCCCAGAGTGCTAGGATTACAGGCATGAGCCACCACATCTGGTCTACTTTCAGTATTTCAAGACAGTGGTGTTCAATCTTTTGGCTTCCCTGGGCCACACTGGCAGAAGAATCGTCTTGAGCCACCCATAAAATACACTAAAAATAGCTTATGAGCTAAAAAAAAAAAAAAACTCATGATGTTGTAAGAAAGTTTACAAATTTGTTTTGGGTGACATTCAAAGCCATCCTGTGCTGCATGTGCTCTGTGGGTCACAGGTTGGACAAGCTTGTTTTAAGGTATTTTTTATTTTAAAAAGTTATAAATGCTGTGAAATGGTACATTAATTGTCTTAGCTAAGATGCTTTTAATTACAAGTTACAGAAAAACCCATCAAGGTTTAAACAATAAGAAAAAATAATTATTTTATATAACAGGCATGCCAGAACTAAGGCAGCTTCAGGGTTGATTGATTCAATAGTTCTGTGAGTCTCAGGCTGCAGTGCAGTCGTGCAATCTTGGCTCACTGCAAGCTCCGCCTCCCGGGTTCACGCCATTCTCCTGCCTCAGCCTCCAGAGTAGCTGGGACTACAGGCGCCCGCCACTACGCCCGGCTAATTTTTTTTGTATTTTTAGTAGAGACGGGGTTTCACCATGTTGGCCAGGATGGTCTCGATCTCCTGACCTCGTGATCCGCCTGTCTCGGCCTCCCAAAGTGCTGGGATTACAGGCGTGAGCCACCGCACCCGGCCATGTTGATTTCTTTCTTAGTGGTCACAAGAGGCTAGCTAATGCTGTTCCATTCATCATGTACTCTCACAGTGATATCCAAAGGCTAGAAAGGGATCTTTAAAATAAAATAAATTACTATAATAGAATATTGCAAATATATTTGACAAAATACTATATTGAATTCTCATTTATCCATCTAACTTGAACAGTTACTGACTCATGACTTCCAGTATTTTTATTATTGTATTGTTGCATTGAACGTCATGTTATATTTGAATATTTCCATATTTAATATTCATCTTCAGGATAAATTCCCAGACGTAGGAATTGTTTTTAGTCACTTGGGAAAGAAAAACTGTGCGTTTGCTTCCAGGTATTTTGATTAAGATGACCAGAACTTTTTATTGACTTATTCTTCAATTTTCAGTCTTGTCCTCATCCTAAAACCAGTTCCTCAAATTCCTCAGGGTTCTCACCATGTTTCTTCACATCCATTCTGCTTAGAATCATCTTTCATCTGTGGCTTAACTCAAGTTCCAGAACTTATATAAGGAACATTCTCTCAGCCCCCTATCACACAAACCAAACTTTGAAATAACTTATAAAATTTAAATTTTATGTATTTCTTTGTGTTCTATAGGAGCTTGAGGAGTTTTGGGTTTACAGAGCCCTTTTGGTAGAACTTACCAAGAAGCTGACTTACTGTGTAAAGGCAGAACTAATCCCTCTCATGGAAGTTACTGGAGTTTTAGAGGTCAGTAGCTTGCGGTTTCCCAATTGAAATTATGTCAATTAATACAGAAGCCAGGTTTTATTATTTTGTGAAGTCTTATTACAGGGGAAGTGACAGCAAGAGCCTTATTGCTCATTTGTCATGGGAGTCTTTTATTTAAAACAAATAACTGCTATGGCCTTCCAGAAATCCACTGTTATTAGATGGCATACCTGATGAAAAATCTCAGTTGTAAAAAAAAAAAAAAAAACACACATAACAGGAAGGGTGGGGGTGACTGTCTCCAAGTATGTTGTGCTACCAATTGTCCTTAACACTTGTTCCTTCCTCCAATCCTTTGAAGAATTACCTTCTGTCAGTTTGGACTCAGTGCTTGTTTAAGTAATGGTGATTCAGTGGCAGCAAGGGTCATTTGTATTTTTTCTAAGAGAGTAAGAAGAAAGGGTTCGCAACTGGTTTTCTGGCTTTCTATTTTCAGCCAACCCTCAACTTCAGTTTATTCTCTGTTATTCAGTTCTTGAGTCAGAGGAGTTCTACTTAGGATACACACACACACACACACACACACACACACACACAGAGACACCAGTGGTCCCCTGAGTAGATGGTGAGAACATTGAAAGATATTGGACTTGGCCTGATGAGGTGGCTCCTGCTGTAATCCCAGCACTTTGGAAGGATCACTTGAGGTCAGGAGTACAAAACCAACCTGGCCCACATGGTGAAACCCCATCTTTACTAAAAATACAAAAATTAGCCAGGTGTGGTGTCATGCGCCTGTAATCCCAGCTACTTGGGAGGCTGAGGCAAGAAAATTTCATGAACGTGGGAGGTAGAGGTTGCCATAAGCCAAGATTGTACCATTGCACTCCAGCCTGGGCAACAGAGCAAGACTCTGTCTCAAATAAAAAAAAAAAAAAAAGAGAGAAAAGAAAAAAGAAAGAAAGAAAGATACTGGACTGGAACGTTTTACTTGAGAATATGAGATGATGCCACCAACCTAAGTGCCTTAATGGGCTTCTATTGTTGATTGCAGCACACATCAGTTGACTCAAGCTGGATAGAACTATAGTTATCTTGTGGTCAGTTTGGAACCACCCAAATGCATTTTTTAAAATTCCTCAGAATTCTCATGTCTTATCTCTTCATATTTACTTTATTATCTTAGTTTATCCTGGTCTCTTACATGCAGTTTTTGTTCTTTTCAGTAAAGTGCTTGCTTTTCTTTTTTCTAATCCCAAATTATTATCCTACTGATTTTTGCAACACTTTTCAGGGTCGAGCAAGACAGTTATACAGTGCAGGTTACAAAAGTCTAATGCACTTAGCTAATGCAAATCCTGAAGTGCTCATAAAGACAATTGATCATTTATCAAGACGTCAAGCCAAGCAAATTATTGCGTCAGCAAAGGTAAGCAAACCATTTTTTAACCTTAATAATCTTGTGTATTGTTATTTGCTTGTGTTGTAGACATCAGAACAAAAACATTTAACATTGCATAACTGTTTATTTCTATAGATACAAAAGTACATACTCATATTTGTGAGTAAAAATAGTGCATCTGTTAGGACACAAACCTTGCTAAACAGAGAAACGACTTGCTAAAAAATAAAGAAAATTTCAATGGTGGCTCATGCCTGTAATCCCAGCTCTTTGGGAGGTCAAGATGGGAGAATGGTTTGAAATCAGGAGTTTGAGACCAGCCTGGGCAACATGAGACTCTGTTTCTGCAAAAAAATGTAAAAACTAACTGGGCATGGTAGTTTGTGCTGTAATTCTAGCTATTCAGGAGACTGAGGCAGGAGGATCGCTTGAGCCCAGGAGTTCAAGGCTGCAGTGAGCTAGGGTGACAGAGTGAGACCCTGTCCCGCCCCTCCTGTCCCGCCCCTCCTCTCCAAAAAAAAAAAAAAAAGGCTGGGCATGGTGCCTCATGCCTGTGATCCCAGCACTTTGGGAGGCTGAGGCGGGTGGATTACCTGAAGTCAGGAGTTCGAGACCAGCCTGGCCAACATGGTGAAACCCCATCTTTACTGAAAATACAAAATTAGCTAGGCTTGGTGGCACATGTCTGTAATCCCAGCTACTCAGGAAACTGAGGCAGGAGAATTGCTTGAGCCCAGGAGACGGAGGTGGCAGTGAGCCAAGGCCATACCACTGCACTCCAGCCTGGCCGACAGAGTGAGACTCTGTCTTAAAAAAAAAAAAATGGCTGGGTGCAGTGGCTCATGCCTGTAATCCCAGCACTTTGGGAGGCCAAGGGGCAGGTGGATCACTTGAAGCCAGAAATTTGAGACTAGCTTGGCCAACATGGTAAAACCCTGTCTCTACTAAAAATATAAAAATTAGCCAAGCGTGGTGGTCCACACCTGTAATCCCAGCTACTTGGGAAGCTGAGGCACGAGAATCACTTGAACCCAGGCGGTGGAGGTTGTAGTGAGCTGAGATTATGCCACTGCACTCCAGCCTGAGTGACAGGGTGAGAGTCTATCTTAAAGAAAAAAAAAAAAGACAATTTCAAGGGTTCATTGAAGTACAAAGAACCCTGGAAGTCACTGAGCTCTGCCTCCCAAAGTTCTCATCACAGGAAGCCTTCCCTCAGCATCCCGACATGTGGTCTCTCCACCTTTGAGCACCATCATTGACAAGGAGCTTGTTCATCAAAAATTAGGTGGTTCTATTTTTGTATGCTCTTAGTGTTACAAAAATGATCCTGATATACCGAGGCTAAATTTTGCCTTCTTAAAATTTTTACCATTGCATCAGAGTACTACGTCTGGAACTGGACTCTTTTTTTGTTTGTATGCTGTTTTTCACATATTCAAAAACAGCTCTTATTGTCCCCAAGGGTTTTTCTTTTCTGTTGCTTTTATCTGTATTAAATAATCGAGTTTTAGGCCATTCACTGTCCTAGTTACCCTTTGCTAGATACAACCCAGTTTGTCATTGCCTTCTGCTCCCTGTGGGTAAAGCTATTCCACAGCAATTTGAGATTATTTCCTTCTTGATCTCAACTATAGTTCTAAGTCTGAAATTGCTTGGCTTCTTTGAAACTTCATTGTTTTACTATTTTCATATATAAATCAGAATTAGCTAAAAAGCAAATTTCCATCATCTTTTAATGGTGCTCACATTGTTTACATTACCTTAATCGTTCTTTACAACAAACCTATGAGGTGGACGAAGTCAGTGTTACCCTGAGTTTATAGATGAAACCACTAAGACTGACCTTGTCCTGTTAAATTAGGAGTTCTTGGGGTTGGTAGGGATGAAGTTATAGTCATTTCCTTTGCTGTAGCACCTAAAAAAAAAAAGTTCATTAAACTTTGACACGCTTGTTTCGGCATTTACTAGTGATGTTTGTCTAACTCCATTATTTCCATGTTTATCAAGTGGTGATTTTCTAACTTCATTATTCCTTCTGGATTTATTTACTGATGTTTTACTATGAGGAAAAGCTTTTCCTTTATTTATTCATTTATCAGTACATGCTTATAGGTTCAGACATATTCAATGGGTTATAACCCATTAATAACGTTACTTATTTTGGTGCTCAAATGGCCTCAGATTTGGCCAGTGGAAGCCCCTGAAAACTGGTTTGTGTGGCTTTTTGACCTTCATCATCATTCTTGAAGTATTTTCTTACTTTCTGGCTGTGTCTGTCAGCATCTAATCATTAGGAGGCATAAACCACATAGTAATTTCAACAGGCCTCTAAGGGGTCAACAGAACGTTGAAGAATTCAGGAAGGAATACATTTGAGAGGTGGTCCACCCCCACCCCACAGCACCCCTATGGATGGGATTCAGGCTTCATTGCCACTGGATGCTGGGAAGTTTGTTGTGGTTCTACAGCCAAGGCTAATAAGCAGAAACTGCCCACTGGAGTGCTGACAAAACTGCCAGGAAGCTGTCTACAATGTACTGTTGAACTTGCCCAAAAGCCAGCTCTAAGGCCCGTGGAACTAGGGCACTAGCTAGGAACACCCTAGCTGATGTATGTCTATGCATTTTTCTATACTTACGTGTAAATTACTGAAGGCCATGAGCTCATACTGATAACCCTAATTCTGATTTTTCCAGGTACATATGCTGTATAACAGAGTCTAGCTCCAAAACTTAGTGGCTTAAAACAGCCATCTTATTTTGCTCATGTCTTTGTAGATTAGGAATTCTGGAGGGGTGCAGCTGGGTGCTTCTCACTTGGGTCCCATGCAGCTGTAGTCAGAAGTTGACTGGCTCTATAGTCATAAGGCCCAGCCGAGCTGGATGACTCAGGTGACTCACTCATATGACCAACAGCTGATAATGGGAGGCAACTGGGGCTTTTCAGTCAACTGGAGCAACTACATATGGCCTTTCCATGTGGCTTCGGTCTTTATGGCGTAGAAACTAGGTTTTCAGAGGGAATGTCCAGAAAGTGAGCATTCTAAGATATCCAGGCAGAAAATGCAAGAAGTCTTCGGAGCCAACCTCAGAAGTCAGACAGTGTCATTTCCACTGCATACTGTTGGTTACTAGAAAACCATTAAGACCTAGATTGAAAGGAAAGGGGATCAGACCACCTCCTCATGAGAAGAGTCTCAAACAATTTGCAGTTATCTTTAAAATCTGCCCGCTGCTCACAAATTGTTTCTGTTCCTCCCACATGCAAAATATATTAACCCCCAAAAGGCCTTTCCATTATAGCTTCTATTAGGAAAAACTCAGTCTTTTTTGTTGTTGTTCCCCCACTGAACACTCAACAAACACAACACAGACAGAAGATTTCTGTGACCAAATATGAGGGATTTCTTCCCAAAAAACAAGCAATCATTTCTGCAGCAGACATCAGCTGGGTGTCCTGACACTATCTAGCTGGAGTCTGGGCTTCTAAAACTTCTTACCAACCACCTTCAAGTTGGGGTTCCCACAGCCTCTTCTCTGGGTTCGGTCAGCTTACGAAACTGAGGAAAACATGTATGTAATAAAGGATATCGCAAAGATACAGATGAAGAGATTCATAAGGCAGGGTATGGGGGAAGTGGCACAGAGCTTTCATGTCCTCGCTGGGCACATCACCCTCCATGTGCTCAGCTGTCTGGAGGCTCTGTGAACCCTATACTCTTAGACCTCTTATGGAAACTTTATTGGGTTGGCATGATTGACAATCATGTAGAAATGTGACTGGACCGAAAGGGTGTGATTTATTAATAATACTAACAGACCGAATGGGGAAACCCAGCAAGACCTGTCTGTTCAGATGCTTCTGGCCTCTCTGTGCAGCATTCCTTTCTCCAGAGTATGGGGTGGGACACTCTGGGATGAGGGTCTTTTTACTTTTTTTTGGAGACAGGGTCTTGCTCTGTTGCCCAGGCTGGAGTGCAATGGCACAATCATAGATCACTGCAGCCATCCCCTCCCAGGCTCAAGCAATACTCCCATCTCAGCCTCAGGAGTAGCTAGGAATACAGACAGGTGCCACGCCTGGCTAATGTTTTTAATTTTTAATTAATCTTTGCTCTATTTAATAGAGACAAGGCTTTGCTATGTTGCGCAGGCTGGTCTTGAACTCCTGGCCTCAAGCAATCCTTCCACCTTGGCTTCCCAAAGTGTTGGGATTACAGCATGAGCCACTGCACCCAGCCTGGAATGAGGGTTTTAAGACCCAATGATCAGAGTAGAGTTCTGCCTTAGGCGAAAGGAGGGCAGAAGGTCAGAGACAGAAATTCTGTTTCCTGAGGTCTAAAGTGCCCCAACATTGTAACAAGGGCTGTGGGAGTTATGAGCCAGAAACCGTGGATGAAAACCAATATATGCATATCATAATATCACAGCATCAGACTCAGATCCAGTATTCTAGATCAAGTCCAGGTGTGAGTGATGCACCTTCAGTACAGTTTCACGAGTTACAGTTCTTACTCTGAAGACCAGTGACCTAAAGAGATACTACATAAAATAGTGAAACCAGAAATAGGATAACCATAGTACACTCTCATTCATAAAGAAGGAAAATCGGTAGTGCATAACAGCAGTTCTGAAATCCAGCCAGCCACATGTGGCCAGTTCTTTAATTATGTCCCAGTTCTTCTCTCGGAATGATTTTTCTTGGCTTTGGGTTCTCTCATTTGGGTCATTCTCCCTTTTCCATAAACAATAAGCCCATGTTTGCTGCTAGGTAGCTTTCTCAGTATGCTTCCTATATACAGTTCAAGAATACTGAAGTTCAAGAGTTCATCAGGGTCAGGTGTAGTGGCTCACACCTGTAATCCCAGCACTTTGGGAGACCAGGGTGGGAGAATCACTTAAGGCCGGGAGTTTGAGATCAGCCTGGGCAACATAGCAAGACCCTGTTCCTACAAAAGAAATTTTTTTTTTAATTTAGCCAGGCATGATGATGTGCGCCTGTGGTCCCAGCTACTCGTGAGGCTGCAGTGGGAGGATCACTTGAGCCTGGGAGATAAAGGCTGCAGTCAGCTATGCTCAGGCCACTGCACTCCAGCCTGGGCTGGAGCAATGTTATCTCTATTTTAATTTAATTTCATTAATTAATGTTATTTATTTATTTATTTATTTATTTTGAGACAGGGTCTCACTTTGTCACCCAGGCTGGAGTGCAGTAGCGTGATCTTGGCTTGCTGCAGCCTCGACCTCCCAGGCTCAAGCAGTCCTCCCACTTCAGCCTCCCAAGTAACTGGGACCACAGGCAGGCACCACCATGCCCAACTAAATTACCTTTTTTAATTTTTTTTTTCACCATGCTGCCCAGGCTGGTCTCCAACTCCTGAGCTCAAGCGATCCACCCGCCTCAGCCTCCCAAAATGCTGGGATTACAGGAGTGAGCCACCAGGCCTGGGGGAGACCCTATCTCTAAATTTAAAATATATATATATGTTCAGAGGCACTTGATGTTTTGTATTGTCTCTGTCTCTTTTTAGTCAATCTGGTATAATATCTTTTAAAATATTACAGTTTCTTATTTATCTATTTATAATCTCTATGTTGCTTGACTTTCTCTTTTTTTTTTTTGAGACAAGGTCTCCCTCTCACCCCATCTGGAATGCAGTGGCACAATCTTGCCTCACTGCAACCTTAGCCTCCCAAGCTCAGGTGATCCTCCCACTTCAGCCTCCCAAGTAGCTGGGACCACAGGCATGCACCACCACACCCAGCTAATTTACATTTTTTTTTTTGTGAAGATAAGGGATTTCTTCATGTTGCCCAGTTTGGTCTTGAACTTCCTGGGCTCAAGCATTGCCCACCTTGGCCCCTCAAAGTGCTGGGATTAAAGTGTGAGCCACCTTGCCTGTCCTAGGCTTGGCTTTCTTACAGTGTGGATGCTAGGGTCTGAGAGGGAGGATTCACATGACCTTGGATTGATCTCATTTAAGACCCCAAGGCCTTTTTTAAACTGAGCCCTGTCATGCCGCATCTTCTTCTGCATTCTATTAGTTACAAGTGAATCACAAAGGCTAGCACAGATTCAAGAGTAGAATTAGATCCCATCTCCAATGAAGGGTGTCAAAGAATCCAATCATTAATTTGCCACACTAATCCCATACAGGACTGCATAGTCCTTCCTCTTTTCATATTTGTACTTCCTTTCTCCAATAATGAGAAACCTCATCCCTGTGGTTTATTAATATATTTCTCCTGTTTCCTCAATCTTAGAATGCACTGAAAGTAACTGCAGAATTGTTTAACTTATACCACTCCAAAAAAAAACAAAAATTCAGTATTTATTTACAGCACTTTTTGTCTTCATTCTGAGAGTATATAATTAAAACAATTGTGTTAAATGTATGTTGGTTTGTGGTGTTAAATAAAAAATCTGCTTCAGTGTGGCTGCTACACATTTAAAACACAATCTACTTGGGTATTCCATTTTACTTCTTCTCCTTCCCTCACGTATTTTTTAGGAGGAGGGGAGCAACTACGGGTCTCTGTTAACCCAGGATGAAGTGGCATGGGCACCATGCTAGCTCACTGCAGCCTGAACTCCCAGGCTCAAGTGATCCACCTTAGCTTCCTGGAGTAGCTGGGACTATAGGTATAGGACCATCCTGGCGAATTTGTTGGTTGTTGTAGATGTGACTTGGTCTCACTATGTTGCCCGGATCTGGTCTGTAACTTCTGGCTCAAGCAACCCTCCCACCTCAACCTTCCAAAGTTCTGCATTATAGCTGTGAGCTCACCATGCCCGGGCCTGGTCTCATTTTTTATTCGTCTTCAGTCGTGGTCGCTGGCTTTTTGTTGTGGTTGCGAGCGTAGGCGCCTAATTTAGGTTGTATTTAAATCTGTTTTCTTTGGACAACCCAATCTATTAGTGTATAGTTGAGTAGTTTGTGAGTTGGTGTAATTGTGATGTTGCCGTTTTCTGGTAAGTTTTCCGGCCTGAGGCGCCGGTCAGCAGCTTTGGGTATTGCGGTTTCCAGGGTTCGTGTCCATGCTCGGGCCTTCTTAGTGTTTTAACTTTTTATTCAGTGGAGCACTTTCCATGCCTCCTTCATATCTCCAGATTCTTTTATTTGAGAATATTAATCTTTGTTGGAGTGTGTGTTTACAGGTTTTTCTGCTTCTGGTTTTGCTTTCAGGGAAGCGAAATTTTATGAGCTGAAGAGTTTGGGTTATTTGTAGTTTTTTTTTTTTTTTGAGACAGAGCTCGCTCTCTCTTGCCCAGGCTGGAGTGCGAAGGGGCGTGATCTCCACTTCCACTGCAAAAGCTCTGTCTCCCAGGTTCACACCCATTTCCTGCCTCAGCCTCCCGAGGTAGCTGGGACTAAAAGAGGTGTGCACCACGCCCAGCTAATTTTTGTTTTTTTTTTTTTTTGTATTTTGGTAGTGAGATGGGTTTCAACGTGTTAGTCAGGATGGTCTCGTCCTGACCTCGTGATGCCGCCCGCCTCGGCTCCCAAAGTGCTGAGATTACACGGGCGTGAGCCATTCACGCCGCCTTGTTTCCTTTTTATATAGTAGTTTTGTATACGATGAAGAACTGCTTGGTACCTCTGCAATATTCTGTGGAAACATAGGTCATTTGGAATGGTTTGTGAGTCCATTTCAAGAGTGTTCTCTTCTGTCAGAAGTTACGCAAGTATTTTTTCTTTTGGATGATTTGGGTGGGAAGAGGAATTGCAAGGAGGGTTGTGTATCCTTTGTTGTCTTTTTTTTTTTTTTAATTTCCTTTGCCAACAAGATATCCATTTTTTCCTTTTTCTCTTCTCCTCTTGCTGCAGCTTTCCAAAGGCACTCCTTTTCACCCAGTTCTCTCCCCTTAAAAGGCATTGGTCTTTTGAAGACTGCCTCCTAGAGTCCCACATGCATGTTAAATATCTTCCTATAAACAATGCTTTAATCAACCAACATTCTTTTTTCAGCATTTTTATATTTGGGTAGGCTTTTTCTCTCTGGAGGTGATTTTATTTCATTTTAGACCCTCTATTTCCCTCTTGTCTTGTGCTTTTTTTCTCAACCCCATCTAGATCTCTGCAAACACTTGGGTGGGAGCTCAAGAAACTGGTTTTGGCTGAGTGTAGTGGCTCACACTTACAATCCCAGCACTTTGGGAGGCCAAGGCAGGAGGATCATTTGAGCCTAAGAGTTTGAGAACAGCCTGGACACATAGGGAGATCCAGTCTCTACGAAAAAAGCCTTTTAAATTTTTTTTAATTAAAAAAAAAAAAAGAGGCTGGGCACGGTGGTTCACACCTGTAATCCCAGCACTTTGGGAGGCCAAGGCAGGCAGATCATGAGGTCAAGCAATGGAGACCATCCTAGCCAACATGGGGAAACCCCATCTCTACTAAAAATACAAAAATTAGCTGGGCATGGTGATGCATGCCTGTAGTTTCAGCTACTCGGGAGGCTGAGGCAGGAGAATTGCTTGAACTCAGGAGGCGGAGGTTGCAGTGAGCTGAGATCGCACCACTGCACTCCAGCCTGGTGACAGAGTAAGACTCCGTCTTAAAAAAAAAGTGGAGGGGTGGGATTTGTTCTTCCAGAAATTGGTGGGCTTTTTTAAACAACAAGTAATTTGAGGTTGTTGATACTCTCTGTGTTATAGTAATACTGACACAAGGGTTTTGTGTAGTTTACTTATTATTCTTATTGATCTATATAGCTTGTTATTTGGCAAAAATTCGTTGACATCTTTTATATGCCATGTTTGGAAATACTTTTTTTGCTCATTATGTTGCTTTTGAAATTAACAGTTTTAAGTTTAGGAACTTGAATAAAACTTTTATTTGAAATACTGGTAGCTTTTTAAAAGCATACTAAATTTTGAGGAATAATAAAGTGCATATATATAAAGGATAACATTTTCAGGAGCTAATTAAATTTTTGCAAAATTGTCTTAGATTTTATAGATTAAAAGTTAATTTTTAAGTGGCTGAGTCTTCAATAAAACAAACCTTTGGGAGAATTAAAGCTTTATTTTTGGTATACTAAAAGGCAGTGATCAGCTAAAATGGTTTTAACTAAATGCCTCCTCTTCATTGACTATAATCGTTTATTCTTAAGTGGCCATTTTTCAATCTCATTATAGTTTTAATGTCTAGATTTCTGATGTGTAAGGATTCAGGTGTTCCTTGGACAGTGGTAAAATTGTTGGCAATTCTCTAGCAATGCATATTTTGGCCTCACGTCTTAATTTTTTAATGTAGATGCTGTTGCATGAAAAAGCAGAGGCCCTGCAAGAAGAAGTAGAAGAGCTACTAAGATTACCTTCTGATTTCCCTGGTGCTGTGGCTTCTTCCACTGACAAAGCATGAAGCTATCTGATGAGCATTTTCACATATGAATTATTTATTGTACATGTGTTTTATTAAAAATAACTTATACTTTATAAATGAAAAAATACATTTTAAGTATGCATTAAGAACTATGAATAATTGAATATACCTCTTCTCACTAACAATTCATTATTTGGAATACTTATTTCTCTGCTGAACAGTCTATAGTGTCCACCACAAAATGAAATTCAATTTCATCAACATTATGCTCAACCTTTGTATCCCGATCTTTCATTATTCTCTTACCCATTTCTTTCATCAAATTGGACTATTTGAAATCCCCAGAATTTTCCTTAGGATTTCCAAACCCTCCATTTCCTAACTGCTTTTTGTTATTTCCAGTGCATGAAAATTATCTTTAAAATGTACTAATACTTCAAGGAGTAACTAAAAAATGCTAGAATTCTGTCTCCTCTATGAAATTATTCCAGGTTCATCCTCACCCCTACCCCACACCTAGGTGCTCTTTCCCTCCTATAAGCATCGTAGACCCCGCATTTATGCCCAGGTCTTTTTGCTGCCACTACTTTATAATCTGGATGTCCAAGTCCTCCATGTGTGTATGCGACCAACACCCACACACTTAAGAAGTAGGAATCTCAGTGAAGAATGAATACTACCCACAATTAACAATTGGAAGCTTTTCTTTAAACACAATTTAAATATTGCCGCTCCCTTTTCACAATCATAGCTCAAATGTAGATGACACTAGTGCAAGAAAAAAAGTGTTAACTAGCAATATTTATGAGTACTGAACTTGCTTGATTAACGATCAACCCACCTGTCTAAGAAACATCCTTTGGAAACTTTGCAAATAAATCCATAGTCTAAGTTATTTGTGCCTTAACATTTTAGGCCATTATAATCTAGTAGTCATTTACCTAGAGTACTAGGCAAATGCATAGAAAATATCTATGTGCCAGGAACTCTTGTAAGTGCTTTATATGAATTAACTAATTTAATTTTTATACAATAGTATCTGTAAGACAGGTACTATTATTATCCTCATTTTACAGATGAATAAACTGACACACAGAGAAACTAAAGTAACTTTCCCAAGGCCATGAACTCGTCAGTCACAGAGCAAGGATTCAGACCCATGCAGCCCCAGTGTAACATCCACACACTTAATCATTATACAATAATGTCTTGGTAAATTTGTCCATTTTATTCCTTCCTAAGTGTTCCTTACACCTGTCCTTGATTTTATCTTTAGTATTACATTCCATCATCCTTGCCCCACTCCCATCCCTGCATTTCCTTACACAAGTCAAAGTACGGCATCCTGATGTCCTAGCAGAATTCTGGGCTTCACCGCACATGTTCCATTTGTTGCAGTTAAAAAGATTTGTAAAACAGCAGCTGGCTAGCCTGCTGTTTGAACCAGCCTCTGAATTGCATTCACAATGGGCCATAGTCCAGTCTTAAGGATTTTTTTTTTAAGTCTAGAAACCCCAGGTTTACTAGTTGGCCCAATTAAGTAAAGCTCTGTCTTTTTTTTTTTCTTGAGATGATGGGGTCTCGCTCTGTCACCTAGTTCAAGGCTTACTCCCGGGCTCAAGTGATTCTCCCACCTCAGCCTTCCAAGGAGCTGGGACTACAGGTGCGTGTCACTGCCCAGCTAATTTTTGTAGAGAAGGCATTTTGCCATGTTGCCCATGCTGGTCTCGAACTCCTGGGCTCAAGTGATCTGCCCGTCTTGGCCTCCCAAAGTGCTGGAATTATGGACATGAGCCACTGTGCCAGGCCAAAGCTCTAATTCTTGCTAACCAATTTGTGAAAGACTGATTTATAATCCAAGATTAATTTATTAATTTAAGATTAGAGGTGAGGGGGCGGGGAGAAGGGTACCTTTACAGTAACTTGAATACCTGTATCTGCAGTTTAGGACGATCTTCACACACACACACACACACACTCACTCTTCTATCAATGTTTCTCCAGGTCAATCTCAATGAAAGGTTGTATCAAGTGTAATGGTGGATGATTAGCCCTAAAAGATATTCAAATATAAAGAAACTGAAACAGTTTAGTTCTAGAGAAGCAGACAAGTGGGAAGGAACAAAGTAGGGAATAGAAATAGACCTAAATACGTTTAAGAATTTAACGTAATAGACTGGGCGCAGTGGCTGATGCCTGTAATCCCAGCAATTTGGGAGGCCGAGGTGGGAAGATTGCCTGAGTTCAGTAGTTTGAGACCAGCCTGGGCAACATGACAAAACCCCATCTCTACTAAAAATACAAAAAAATTAGCCGGGTGTGGTGGCACATTCCTGTAGTCCCAGCTACTCAGGAGACTGAGGCATGAGAATCACTTGAACCCAGGAGGCAGAGGAGGCAGCGAGCCAAGATCGCACCACTGCACTCCAGCCTGGGTGACAGAACAAGACTCCATCTCAAAAAAAAAAAAAAAAAAGAATTTAATAAACATGGTTTTTCAGTTTTGAGTAATAGAAATGCAAGCATATGTAGCTTAAGCAAAAGGGACATTTAGTGGCCACGCTCTCAAACAGTAGGCAGCAATAGAATTGGCCTTAGGGCAGCTAGAACCAGAGAATCCTAACACCATCCATACTCACCATCTCTTGTCGGGCAGCACCAGACTTGCTTCCTTATGGCTTCAAGATGAAAGCAAAAAGAGCTCTCTGCTGCCAACTCTAGTTAGAAAAGTCTCCAGGAAGGGTTCTCATTAGTCCTTTGTGGGTCCATTTCCCACCCCTGTGAGCAGGATATAGGGTTTAGGTTTGGGTTTTGGTTTTTCAGAAGACAGAGAAGTGGGGGTAAGCAGAGAAAACAGCTAGTACAGATGACACTTCAAGTCACAGTGGAAAAGATGGATAACTCAGTGAATAGAATTGAGACAAATGGCTACCATGCCATTTAGAAAAATATTAAGCTTAGCCTGGGCAACATGGCGAGACCCCGTCTCTACAAAAAATTAAAAAATTAGCTAGCCTTGGTGGCGCATATTTGTGGTCCCAGCTCCTTAGGAGGCTGAGGTGGGAGGATCGCTTGAGCCTGGGAGTATGAGGCTAGAGTGAGCTGCACTCCAACCTGGGCAACAGAGCAAGACCCTGTCTCTCCTCTCTCTCTTTCTACATACATATATTTAGCACTCTATAAAATATATTTTATATTATAAATAGCTGATTTCTACCTATTGGTTTAAACCAAATTAAACTTTAGGCAAATCAAAGATTCAAATGTGGAATTTTTGAAGGTGTCATCTATGCTGAAGCATCAAAGAACGTATCTGCAGTTCCTTCTAAGGCTTCAAAACAGTAAAATGTCAGTAGTTCCAGTGTGGTGTCAGGTTTTATTTTGTTTTCTTTATAGATTCTTTTCAAGCTACGAGCCAGCTGGCCCATTTCTAAGATGCTTAACTTCAAGATCTTTCTAACATCCAAGCCTCTTCTGCTTTGCATTATACCTTTAAACAACCACCCAAAAGAGGCTTTTCTGTTGGAGCACACCCATGTTTTGGTGAAGTGTGAGCCTTTTCAAACCTAGCCACCCTCTCCTCCAATCTCCACACTGGTATTTTTTCAGAAAGCCCTCCCTGACTTCATGCTTTCATTTGTGAGAGCCTTTCCACACAAGCATCACTGCAGCTTTCGAACTCCATCTCACTGTGACAGGAAGTAACACCAAAAATATATAAGCATTGTTATACTTGGTTTTATTTAACAATTTCTAGTAATTTATAATCATGTTGATAAGTGTGCTTTTTTTTTTTTTTTTTTTTTTTTTTTGAGACAGGAGCACAGAGTTTCCCCTCTTGTTGCCCAGGCTGGAGTACAATGGCACAATCTTGGCTCACCACAACCTCCACCTCCCAGGTTCAAGCCCTTCTTCTGCCTCAGCCTCCCGAGTAGCTGGGATTATAGGCATGTGCCACCACGCCCGGCTAATTTTGTATTTTTAGTAGAGATGGGGTTTCTCCACGTTGGTCAGGCTGGTCTCAAACTCCCGACCTCAGGTGATCCATCTGCCTTGGCCTTCCAAAGTGCTGGAATTACAGGCGTGAGCCACCGCACCTGGCCTTTTTTTTCTTTTTTTTTTTGAGATGGAGTCTCACTCTGTTGCCCAGGCTAGAGTGCAGTGGTGCAATCTCAGCTCGCTGCAACCTTCATCTCCCGGGTTCAAGTGATTCTCCTGCCTCAGCCTTCCCAGTCACTGGGACTACAGGCATGTGCCGCCACACCTGGCTAATTTTTGTATTTTTAGTAGAGACAAGGTTTCACCATGTTGTCTAGGCTAGTCTCGAACTCCTCACCTCAGGTTATCTGCTCACTTCAGCCTTCCAAAGTGCTGGGATTACAGGGGTGAGCCACTGCACCCAGCCAAAAGTGTAATATTTTCTTTTGTTATATTCAATGACAATAATAAGGGTGACAATAAACTACCATGTTTTGAAGGTTTGCCAAGTGTTGGCACTATGCTGAACACTTTCATGCTTTGTCTAGATGATTCCTTGCAGCCATTTTTCACCTCACGTTACCAGTGTGAAAAGTGTGGCTTGCCAGGATCACCCCATTATCAAGTGACAGAGCCTAGACCCATCCCTGATCACACTGATAATTCTATTTTTGATTGTGTTCATTTGCAGCACAAGCTACTCTACACGTGTTTGGAAAGGAGTGGATCAAGATGGCAGACTGAGCATATGTGTTTGCCTTTCGTCTTGCCTAAAATCCCATGAAATGATTTAAAATAGAGATTTGGGCCAGGCGTGGTGGCTCATGCCTGTAATCCCAGTACTTTGGGAGGCTGAGGTGGGTGGATCACTTGAGGTCAGGAGTTTGAGACCAGCCTGGCCCACACGGTGAAACCCTTTCTCTAATAAAAATACAAAAGTTAGCCAGGCGTGGTGGTGGACGCCTGTAATCCCAGCCACTTGGGTGTCTGAGGTAGGAGAATCACTTGAACCCTGGAAGCAGAGGTTGCAGTGAGCCAAGATCACACCATTGTACTCCAGCCTGGGCAACAGAGCGAAACTCTATCTCGAAATAATAAATAAATAAATAAAATAGAGATTTGAAAATAGCCTAAGTATATAACAGCACAGAAAAACAGTGAAGACTGGCACTAACACATAGGATCATGATGATTAAAAAGCCAAATGGAGCATCCTAGGCCAGCAGGCTTTTCCTACTCCCTCACTGATGCAGAATACTACACACTAGTGGCATTTCCCACAAAGCTAAAACAGTGTCCTACAGGATCCAGCAAGGAGTGAAAGATAGAAGATAACCTCCATACACCCACAAGAAAAGCTACTGGCTCAAACCCTCAGCATGTTACCACAATCTGGTAACAGAAAACGCAGAAAACAAGGATTCTCAGGTACTAAGTTGCTCAGAGAACCAAGAATGCCAAATGTTTGTGAGTAAGTCAACACCATAAAA